CGTCTTTACGAACGGATCGCGCCAGACCTACGTGTGCAGCATACGTGTTGCGTGTTGCGCATCGGAGCAGCTACGCTGGTCGGTACCCCTCTCATAGCATGAGCTGGCAGGTGGCACCCATACCTGTGCGACGTCCAGATGTCTCGGGGTCGGGCAACTCTCAGGAGGGGAAAAAACACACAGACACAATTAATCGTCGACCCCCAGGAAAATATGGGAAAATATGGGAAGTGGTGGGGAAGACAGAAACCCAGAAAATATGGGAAAATATGGGGAATATTTTTATTTGTGTGTATTTATTTGTGTGTCCTGGAGCCCCTTTAAACTCGCACCCCTGCTCATCGCGCCTCCATCACCCTGCCCTTCTGGTCGGGCCTGCCCCTCCTGCGCCCTCCCCCCCGTTGGCGCAGCCATTCCGGCGCAAGCCTCTCCATCGCGGGCCCGCGCGCAGGTCGGCAGCCGTCTTCGCGAGGAGGCCGGCCAGCCGGCCAGCCACGTCGGCAAGGTTTCTGATGCTCCAACCTGCTGTAGCCCTTGATCACCAGGAACAGTTTAGAGCGCCCAGAAAAGCACCCCCAAACTCGAGGGTTTTCACGTGTCGGGCCCTGGGAGACACGCGCCCGACACTCTTTCGACACTCTTTCGACACTCTTTCGGCACTTTTCGGGGTGCTCGAAATTATTTCTGAGGTGTGTTCCTTAAGTACGATGGGAACAACATAAGGCAAGGCCCTGCAATCACGCGCGGACCCCTCCGAAGCCTTCGGCCCCACGCGGCACTGGCGGCGCGGGCGGTGGTCCTCGACGCTGGCGTTGCCACTCTTCGCCCCGGGCGTTGACCGCCCGCCGGTCGGGCCCCGGGGGCATCGGAGATCGACCCAGCTCGAGACATGCTGCAGGGAGATGGGGCCTGGAGCTCTGGTCGTGATTTTTCGTGACGGTGCTTTTCTCGCAGCGTCGGGCGCCAGGGGTGCGAAGGGGGCCTTTCTAAGGAGGCGCTGGGCCTCCTACAGGGGATCGGAGGCTCTTAGGAAGGCTTCTTCGAGTATGCCGTCCTCCCCCTCGCGCCACCCCTTTTTGAGCGACGCGCCGCCGAGCTGGGGTGCCCCGACCCCCCTGCCCGTTACCGCAGACGTCCTGTCGATTCTGAGCCCCCCCTCCACAGGCTTAGCTGCAGAAACACGTGACCCGCCAGGGCAGCGTGCGCGTGTGATTGCCGAAAGGTGGGTGCAATACTCGTATTCCCCGCCTTGCGCTGGTGGTGCGCAGCGCCATGGCAGTAGCGGACGGCTCCCAGGTGCAAGGCACGGACGACCAGATGCAGGTCGTCTTGACCATTGTCGAGGCGAGAGGCTTGAGGGGCACAAGCCTGGACAGCACCTCCGAGTGCTGCTGCACGTGCTGGGTTCAGGGCGACAAGGAGGACACCGAGTTCAGCACCGACGCGGTGAGGCGCTCGGCGGACGCATCATGGGAGCACCAGATCACCCTGCCTGAGTGGGTGCGCGGCCAGACTCTGGAGTTTGAAGTCTGGGACCAGGACGGGCTCTCGCACCGGGACGTTCTCGGGAAGGCGGAGCTGCTCCTGTCTCCAGACCTCTGCGCAGCGAGCAGGGCCGTCGAGCAGAGCTTGCCGCTGAAGTGCGACGGCGGGGCGCAGGTGGTGTAACGAAGCCACCCACGTGCTCAAACATTACCCTCCCGGTTCTTCTCTCGGCGGCCGCCAGGGGGGGGGGGGGAAGTGAGAGAGGCGGAGGAGGAGGAGGAGGAGGAGGAAGAAGAAGAAAAAGAGGAGCAATAATGGTATGACTAATAATAAGGCTCATAATCACACGAATACGACGAATAAGAGTAATAAGAAAGTAATAATAATACGACAAATAAGCAGAAGCATAAACATAACCATAAGCAGAAACATAAGCAGAAACATAATCATAAGCAGAAGAAGAAGAAGAAGAAGAAGACGAGGAGGAGGAGGAGGAGGACGAGGCGGAGGCGGAGGCGGAGGCGGAGGAGGAGGAGGAGGAGGAGGAGGAGGAGAGGAGGAGGAGGGAGGAGGAGGAGGAGGAGAAGGCGGCTGCGCGGTCTTTGAGGAGGCTCAGAAAGCTTCTCGGAAGCCCAGAGGCCTCCCGAGCCTTCTGCAAAGGGCCGCCCCCCCCTGCCTCCCCCCCTCCAGGGTGCGCCGCCTATCCTTATCCTCCTCCTCCTCCTCCTCCTCCTCCTCCTCCTCCTCAAGGTAGGGAGGGAGGGGTATGAACAAGAACCCAGACAGCCAGCTCCAGCGAGCTGGCGGGCCAATACCGCTCCCAGCCCTTCTACCCACAGCGAGAGAATCCGCCGCACTCGTCGAAAGCAGGGTGTGAGGTGCTCAATCGTTTTTTACCTAACAGCGAAGACTGATAGGTTTCTAATGGGGTCAAAAGAGAGCATCTGATGACTCAGAAGGGAGGTCTGGGCGGCATCCCGACAGCGAGGGCCGGGCTCAGGGCTGGGCTCGTTTTAAGCAAACAGTCACACACTTCGTGCTCTTCGACCTCCCAGAACTCCATTCCCGGGCCACATTTTGGATGCCCGGAGCCAACTGTAGCCACTTCGTGCTCTTCGACTTCCCAGATTTCCATTCCCGGGCCACATTATGGATGCCCGGAGCCAACTGTAGGCCACTTCGTGCTCTTGGACTTCCCAGAACACCATTCCCGGGCCACATTTTGAATGCCCGGAGCCAACTGTAGGCCACTTCGTGCTCTTCGTGTTCCCAGAACTCCATTCGTGGGCATGATTTTGAATGCCCGGAGCCAACTGTAGGCCACTTCGTGTTCTTCTAGTTCCCAGAACTCATTCCTGGGCCACATTTTCAATGCTGAAGCAAACTGATGCTGCAGCCGAGGCAGGCTGAGGCTGAGACAGGCTGAGGCTGAGGCCGAGGCTGAAGGCAGACTGAGGCTGAGGCTGAAGCAGCTGAGGCTGAGGCTGAGGCTGAGGCAGGCTGAGGCTGAGGCTGAGGCAGGCTGATGCTGAGGCAGGCTGAGGCTGAGGCTGAGGCCGGCAGGCTGAGGCTGAGGCAGGCTGAGGCCGAGGCTGAAGGCAGACTGAGGCTGAGGCTGAAGCAGGCTGAGGCTGAGGCTGAGGCAGGCTGAGGCTGAGGCAGGCTGAGGCTGAGGAGGCTGAGGCAGGCTGAGGCTGAGGCTGTGACTGCGACTGCCGTTGCCACTGCGACTGTCATCGCGAATGCGACTACGACTGCAAGAACAGCAGAATTCTACAACTGGATTCTCATCTGAATCTTAAGGGGAATGCCTCCAGACATGTTCCTACACATCGCTGATAGGTTGCTTTGCCGGGATAATTTGTTTATGTTTGTTATGCTTTTGATTTGGTTTGTTTGTCTTCTCCCCCCCTCTCCCTCTTTCGTTGGCTTCCAGAAGCTTTCTTGCCCTTCGACTGCTCTGGCGAGGTCCTCGTGCCATGGCTGGGCCAGGTCCCATCGCTCCCAAACCCTTCTTCCACGGTGTGCGAATCAGTGCCGTCGCCGCTGGCGGTCGGGGCCCAGCTCCCGCCTGTCGAGCGGAAGACGCTCGCATGCGCGCGCGCGCAGCTCCGCTTCCGACGATCTGGCGACGGAAGGCGGCTTTTGCCCACGGGGTGGAGGCGGAATTCTCAGACCTGCACCTTTGCGGCAGAAGCCCTACACAGCTGTAGACATGGCCAGAGGGGCATGGACAGAGACACCTAGAGGCATCACAGTATCCGACACCATGGTGCAGTGTGCCAGAGTCTCATATATCATTGTGTGCACGTATATATGTATATATATATAACGGTATATGTATATGTCTATCTGTGTGTGTGTGTGTGCCTGTGGGCTCTTGTATTGTACGTTCTAGCGCAGTGTTTCCGACGCCACTCTTTATGGGGACAAGCAGTAAGCTTGGTCTAGTACGGCATAGGATAACATATTGTAGTGCTAACCCCTTGTCTTGAATGATCACTAGCAGTGGTATGATGATTCCTATGCTACTAAGAGTGCGCTTGCGAATCTGGTAATCAAAGTTACGACCACTACTATTCATGCTAATGCCAATCGTATGTTAGCCATCGTGGACCCCAAACAGTATGTTTCTAGCAACATGTTTTGTGCACTCTATGTGGGACTATGTGTGTTGTGCAATATTTGTGGTGCAATCTACGTTGGAAGCAATGCAAGGTAAAGCAGGCCCAGCCGGCGACGGGGCGGAGACTACGGCCACATAGCCGCCATATCGACGGGCAGGCCTAGAGCGACGGGGCGGCGACGGCGACCACATGACCGCCAGACCGACTTGCAGGCCCAGTTCCTGAGAAAAGTAATGAGAACCCTTAAGTGCAAGCACTGTTTAGGAAAAAACGAGTGTCGGAGGCCCAGAGGTTAGCACCAACACTAATCTCGGCGGTGTGCCTCGGCGGAGGGAAGGCGATCCCGATTCTGGTGATGGCGGCAATTTTCGGGTTCTTGGGTGGCGGAAATATTACCACCAACACCGAAATCTAGGTTCATCTTCCCTGGTGGAGGCATGAGGAGGGGAAAAAACACAAACACAATCAATCGTCGACTCCCAAGAAATTATTGGAACATCTGGGAAGTGGGGGGGAAGACAAAAACCCAGAAAATACGGAACAATATGGGGAATCCTGTGATTTGTGTGTATTTAGTTGTGTGTCCCAGGGCCCCTTCAAGGTAGCCCACCTGTGTTGGTGTTGGTGCCCATGTCCGAGCGTCCAAGAGTGCCAACACAGTGCTCGTGCAGCGGGAGGCCACGGGAGGCCACTGGATGGACCACGGGAGACCACGGGAGGCCACGGGAGACCAGGGGAGGCGAAGGCGCCCGACCACGTCGTCGTCGTCGTCGTCGTCGTCGGCGGCGTCGGCGTCGGCGTCGTCGTCGTCATCTCCATCCCCCCCCTCCTCCTCCTCCTCCTCCTCCTCCTCCTCCTCCTCCTCCTCCTCCTCCTCCTCCTCCTCCCATAGACGGCGATACCCGTACTCGGCTTCTTAGAAGAATTATATAGGACCCTTACAGGCAAGCTGCTTAGAGAATAAGCGTTACCGCTTCGGCCAGAGCAAAAGTTCGTGCTTCGAGGCTGGAGGTTTCTGGACGCTTTCGTCTGTCCTCGGCGGTTCCCCCAGCTTGGGATACCTTCAGCGGCTGCGCCTTGCCGAGAATGTTCCGGAAGGGCCCGGAGAGTCCCGAACGGCCGCCACAGACCCGAGTTATGGCCGGAGAGCCAGGGAGCAGAAGGTTGGGGGGCAACGCTACACAGGGGGATAAGCTCAGGCCCTATCGCCCAAGGCAAAGTTTTTGACGTGACCGGCGAAGTTAAAGCATTCGCGCGCCCAAGCGGGAACGTCACATTTAGGCACAATCTGCGTGGCGCTTGAGAGGGGACGATCTGTCATCGGCTCACCCGCGGCCCCGCTTCCGACGGCGGGGCAATCGACAATCTGCGTGGCGCTTGAGCGTGAACGACACTTTCAAGCGAGGCGATTCGGAGTGTGTGCTGAACCTCTCCCTCTCTTTATATGTATTTGTGCATATATTGATACATGCATGTTCTTCGTTTATTTGTTTGTTTGTCTGTATGCATGTATGTGTATATGCATGCATGCGTGCATGCGAGTACGTATGTATGCACACATGCATGCATTGATGTATGTACGTATGTATGTATGTATGTCTGAGTGTATGTATGTGTGAATGTGTGTTTGTGTATACTTGTACCCATGCGCACATAGTTACGCATATTCAGGGGCATATGTACCTACATACACATGTACATATATATCTACATATGCATATACATGTACATATGCATGCACACATACATACACCTATACACATACACATATACACATGAATCCAGACATGTACATGCACATGTACATGCACATGTACACGTGCATTCGCATATACCTATACACATACATACACATATACACACATGTGTACCTATACATGTGCATGTGCCATGTACATGTACACATACAACTACGTTAGCATATACATACACAATCACAGGTGCATGTACATGTACACGTCCATATGCATCTACAGGTGTGTACACACATATATATATATATATATATATATACATATGCACATATAGACATATGTATATGTACAGGTGTGTGTTAACAGATCAGATCATACACGTTATCCCCGTATGTCCTTGCCCTTCACACAGGGTATGTTGCTCGTCATGGTGGAGGGCGCGCCACCTGCGGACGAGCCACAGGATGGAGCGGCGGATCCCCAGGTCGCCTTGCGGGAGGCAGACGGCACGGTGGCCAGTGGAGCAGGAGCGGTGGACGAGCCACTTGATGGAGGGGTGGAGTCCGAGGCCGCCTTGGAGGTGGCAGACGGCACGGTGGCTGCTATGGCGGCAGAGGTGGACGAGTCACAGGACGGAGGGGTGGAGTCCGATGCCGCCTTGTGGGAGGCAGGCGGTGCAGAGGTCGGTGGAGCAGCCGACGGGGACGACAGGACGCGCTGCTGCCCCGGCCTCGGCCTCGGCAGCGCCGCGTCGGCGTCCACCGTGGAGGGCGAGGAGTCCCCGGGGAGCCCCGAGGTGAGCGCGCTGGCTGCGCTGCTGCAGCGCAGGAGCGCCGGCTCGCTGCTCCGGGGGTGGCGGAGGCACTTCGACCCGGAAGGCGCCGCGCAGGTGCTCGGCCACGCGCGGAGGGGGGTAGGGGGAGGGGGAAGGCTTCTTAGAAGCATCCTGCTTCGTAGAGGGCGCGGGCCTCTTCTATAGATGTAAGGCCAGCGCCTTCCAAGAAGCCTTCCCCCCTCCCCCCTACCCCTCTCCGCGCGCCGCCAAGGTGCGCCGCCAGAGGTTTGTGCAGGGCTGTGGCGAGGTAGGTGGCCTGCACCTGGCGAAGCCGATCTGGCACGAGCTCAGCCTGGACGGAAGGACACTGGCGTTCTCGTCGCTCTTCCCGAGGGAGCAGGCACGCCTTGAGAGCCTCGCGGCGGTTCTCTTCCCAGCCTTGGGGGCTGACCTCGAGAACGTCTGGGAGTTCCTGGACGGCCAGCACAAGAATCGGCTCTGCTTCAGAGACTTCGAGAAGGGTGTGAACAAGCTCGGGTTCAGGTGCAACGTCAAGCCGATATTCGACGGGATCCTCAATGGCCCCGTCTTCGTGTTCAAGGAGGACTTCCTCTACCTCAGACTGTTCTTCTGGAGCTGGCTGCAGTCCGTGCCAGGGGGTGCAGACAACACCCTGGCCGCTTTGTTCAGCCACGTGCGGCAAGAGCTGGGCGGCCCAGAGGCGTTCATGAAGCGCCTAGGCCTGAGCCAGGACGAGGCCATTTCCGAGCACGAGTTCGCGGCCCGCCTGAGCGCCATCGGTTTCCTCGGCGATCCCGTGCTCGTCGCGAGACACCTGGCGAAGATGGAGAAGAGGGTCTGCAACGGGACCGAGATATACGCGAGTTCGTTATCTTCGCTGCTCAGTGACGAGGGCCACAGGACGAGCCCAAAGGCCCCCCTGGGTGCTGGCCTGTGCGAGACGCCGAGGGGCCCGAAGACCTCCGCGCGCGCAGGCCCGTGCGAGACGCCGAGGACGCCGAGGTCGCAGCTGTCGGGTGGCCCGAAGACCTCTGCGAGGTCGCAGCTGTCGGGTGGCGAGCCAGTCGAGTGGGTCGGCGCCACGAGGGACGTCTCCCACCACAACAGGGGGAAGCACCCCGACCTGCGCACCTACTTCAGCCAGCCCGTGAGGGAGGAGGACGAGCACGAGGAGCGCCCCCCCCCCTCCCCCCCCCCGACCCCTTTCCCCCCCTGCTGCCCCCGACATCTGCCGACGTGTATTTTTCGAGGTGCGGCCCCAGAGGTTCCGAACCCTTCTCCGGGGCGAGTCGAGCTTTCGCCCAAGGAGAATTTTCTTTGATGCCATTCTGTCCCCCTGGGAAAGGACTGCCACTTTTTTGCAGGTCGTGTGGTGAAGCATCGTCCGGGGGACTTCCCTGCGTGTAGTTTTCTTCGTCCCGGGTCCGTTTCCGACGGCCCCGGGACCCGATAACGGACCCGGAGACCAAAAGCAATCGGGGGTGGACAGAACCCCCAACAGTGACACGTCGATTAGTGAATTGTCCGTCTTCGGTTCTCGAGAGGGCGCCGTGGCCGTTGTTTTCCAGGCCTGCGCCCGCCAGGTCTGGGCCTCGGGTCGTTTTCACTAAACCACGTTTTGCTAAAGGGAGGTCTGTCCATCCCCGAAACAAGAAAAAGTTGAAGCCGACCAAAACAAACACATCGACGATTGCAAGTGCATCGCCTTTCCAGGGCAGAGGCCCGATCGCGGGCCACAGCGGGCCCCAGAGGCCGCATGTCGAGGAGACACGCTCCCCCCCGGCGGCCGCCGAGGTGCTGCAGTCCACGCCCGAGGGCTCCAGAGCCCTTCCCCAGGGGCAGTGTCGCGCCTCGCGTGCCTTTTTTTGAGGGCCCCAGGGCCGCCGGTCGGAGAAAAATCGCATGGCCCGCGATGCAGTCGGGGGGCACTGGGGAAGGAACCCTTTTCGTTGGGGAGGGGCTCGGTGCTCCTGAGTTGTCTTGCAGTTCCCCTTTGGTTTTGCTTAGGGTTTCGATGGGACGTCGAAGTTCAACTTATGGGAAAAAGGGGCCTCGTTCCTTATTTAGGGTTCCTCAGGTCAACGCCCCGACTGTGCTCGCTGCCGCCACCCTGCGGGCCTCGTCCTGGGGTGCGTTCGGGCCGTGGTCTCGAGGCGGAAATCAGCCGAGGCGACAAGGGAAGGGCAGCGGGGTATCGCTACGGTGGGGGCGTCGGTGACGGACTGTGCCCAGGAGGTTTCAGGCCCTGGAGGGGCCTCTTTCAGGAGAGGAAAAAACACACAGACACAATTAATCGTCGATTCCCCAGAAAATATGGGAAAATATGGGAAGTGGGGGGGAAGACAAAAACACAGAAAATATGGGAAAATATCGGGATATTGTTATTTGTGTATTTTTATTTGTGTGTCCTGGGGCCCCTTCACTCTTATCCGAGTAGGGCGGCGGTGATATCCATGGCCAAGCCTCACCAGGCCCCGGATTCCTTAGTCAGCGGCTCCTGATCCCACACCCGCACCGCGTCGGTATCTTTCTGGCCTGCTTCGGCGTGCAGGCTCCGTCTGCATGGCCTCTCTCTCTCTCTTTCTCTCTTTCCCCCTCCCTCTTTCTCGACTTGTAGTTCCTTCTTGGTTGCGTCGGCAAAGCAATAGATGCTTAAATCGGGCCTGTGTTATTCCCCCTCTCGGCCAGGGCGCCAGCCGGTCCAACAGTCCCGGCGGCGCTGGCGTGGCGCAGCCGGCGGCGCACTGCGCCCCCGATCACGTGCCTCTTCTCGCGCTCCCGGCCGCCGGCGAGGCGTCGAGAGGGAAGAAGTGCGCCGACCACGGCTCAGATTCGGGGTCACCCCACCATACCAATGCCATGTTTGAGTCGGGCATGTCCCCCTACAGGAGGAACATGCAAAAAAGAAGCTCCGTGGCGGGCGCTTGGGAAACGAACTGCTACAATATTGTTGTCTAGTGGCCTTCGGCCCATTCCGCCACCGTGCCTGGGTTGTGGGTATGAAGCCTATTGGATGTTCGTTGAGATCTCGCGGGAGGCCTCTCGGGGGCCTTTTGGAGGCAGTTTTGACGCCTCTTAAGGGCCGTTTTGAGGCCTCTTTGGGTCTCTTTTGGGCCTCGCTGGGGCCCTCTTGTGGGCCTCTTGGGGCCTCTTGGGCTTCTGGGGCGCCTCTTGTGGCCTCCTGGGGGCCTCTGGGGCGGAAGGCTCCGATTTTCGGTTCGTGCTCCCTCTCTCGGGTCCATTCTGGGGCCGCCTTGGGGTCCCCTTGGGGCGTCCTGGGTGCCTCTTGGCCATCTTTTGGCGCTCTTAGGCTGTCTTGGGGCCCTCTTGGAGGCCTCTTGGGCCGTCTTGGAGTGGTTTTGGGGGCCTCTTCGGCCGTAGAGCGAGAACGCCTAAATCCTTCCAAACACCGAAGGCAAGTCACTGATAGTTGCCTCTTTGGGCCCTCATGGAAGGCCTCTTGGAGGCCTCTTGGGGCGTCTTGGAGGCCTCTTGGGCCATCTTGAGGCCATCTTGGGCGTCTTGGGACGATCTTTCGGTGACTCGGGCCCTCTTGGACCGTCTTGGGGGCCTCTCCCCGTCCTGGGGCCCTCTTGGGCCCGAAAAGCTCGCGCGACAAGCCGCGGGGGATCCCAGAGGGCACGCGGGAGGCCCCGAGAGATGTCGGAGATTGGGGTCCGGGCTCCGTAGAGACTCAGGACTGAGGACTGAGGCTCCAGGTATGAGGAAAAGGACCTGAGGACACGCCCACTCCGTCCCCAGTGGCACGGTGGCGGATACGACATATTCGGCTCGGTCGCACGCCTCCAGATAGCACACATAGTACTAGTATGTCCTTGTGCGTTCCACAGATGGCGCATTCAAGAAAGGGCCTCCCTGAGATCCTGGCGCTGCGATTCCCTCACTGCGGGGGCTTTCGCTCGGCTTCGGGCCCCGGGACCCTCACAGAGCGCTGCGGCTCGAACGAAAGGATGCCGAACGAGGGGGGCCTGGGGCTCCAGTGGCAAGTTTTGAGATGCTGCACTTTTTGGGCAGCGCCAGTAGGGGGCCACATGCGAACCCTACCCCTACCCCCCACGATTTCTGAGGGGGAGGGTGGGGTTCACTTCGCGCGGGAGCTCCCGAGCGGAGTGAACCCCCCCCCTCAGAAATCGTGGGAGGAGGAGGAGGAGGAGGAGGAGGAGGAGGAGGAGGAGGAGGAGGAGGAGGAGGAGGAGGAGGAGGAGGAGGAGGAGGAGGAGGAGGCGGAGGCGGCCCCCTAGCCGGGTCTGAGGGCCCCTCCCTCGAGGATCGAGGGGCTTCCTGCGCACCTCTGCCCTCGGCGGCAGAGGGCAGGCGGGCCCGTGGCGGAGGAGGGGGGGAGGGAGGCCAAAAACGGCAGCGCGCCTGCGCCGGCGGAGAGGCCAGCGGAAGCTCGGCGCAAGGCGGCGGACGCAAGGCTCGGCCTCGTGAAGCTCGGCCTCCCAAGAGGTTCGGAGAATAATGATAATGCTAATAGGAATACGAATAGTCGCAGGCGATGTTTCTCCCCCAATCCCCGAGTTTCGCCCAAAAAGTTTGGCCGCTCAGAAAAATGGAAAAAACCCTGGGATACACCCCAAGGGGGCTATTCGGACGCACCCCTATCGAGGATGGGCACCCCCCCATCGTATATCCCAGGGTTGGGCCCCAAATTTCTGGTCCATTCGGAAACCCCACGAAGCCTGGGATAGGGGTCGACGTATCCCTTGTTAAATAGTAAGACGAGTAGCAATAGTGCTAATCATGATACGAAGAAGAATATAATAAGAGTCATACTAAGAAGAGTCACAATACCTAGTAGTCATGATGGCGCCATGACCAAGTTCATGACGGAGGTCAGCACCACGAGCGCCAGAAGCGCCTCCGAAGAGGAGAAGGATCATCAGAAGCGCGCGGAGCGCCACAGGTTTGTGCTCATGGCGTTTTTTTTTTTGTCTTCCTCCAGAGATGGCATGGGTTATTGGGCTCGGGGTATGTTTGGGGCCCTCCCCACGGCGCGGGATCTCGTCGACGCCGATGGCAAGGCCTCGGGCGGCGCGCAGACGGCGCCCCCCCCCCTCTCCCGAGCTCCCGTGCTGGGCTCCACAGGCCCCCCCCGCACAGTCCCGGCTGGCCTCCGCAGGCTCCCCGAGCCGACGCTCCCGCGCCGCCTCCTTCGGTGGCAGAGCATCCCTCTTGATTCTGGCTTTCGCGTCGATGAGCGTCGGTTGGCGTCTGGAGGTGACGAGGCAGCGCCGATTTAGTACTGGTTAGCGTCGATTCGCGTCGATTAGCGTCTGGAGTTGATGAGACAGCGCCGATTTAGTGTTGGTCAGCGTCGATTAGCGTCGATCCAGCGACGACGCTAGAGATGGTATGGGAGGCTCTCATGAGTTGCCACCGAAGCCTCCGGCGGCGCCCCTGGGGAGCTCTGCGCGCAACCCCGAAGCCTTACCAGATGCCGATCCTGGTCATGGCCCACGCTGGCAGTCGCCGAAAGGGAGCGCGCCGACAATGACCTAGATGGCGCGGGATCTCGTCGACGCCGATCTCAGACCCCCTCCAGTTGTGAAAAGATGTCGACTGGTTCTTCCCTCAATTTTCGGCCTCGGGGGGCCCTCGCCAGGCCTCAGGACCGTCAGAAAACGACTCAGGAAGAAAAACGGGTTCAGGGACTGGGCCGGAACTTCCAGGGGCAGCGCATGGATCAAATCAAGACATCGGATCTCCGGGATGTCGCGGAATCTCGTTGACGCGGGTCATGGTCATGACCCATGACGGCCGTCGCGGATGAGTGAGTGTTATCCACGAGTCTGGCGGTGACCAAGATGGGTCGTGGCCAAGATCGACGCCGACGCTGCCGGACGTCTGGCAAGCCTGGCAACCAGTGGCGAATCGTCCTGACTTGCCTGCCAGACATGATCGCGTCGTCAAAGATTCAAGACGGGAGTTTTTTCTTCGTTTTTGGTCTCTAGGAGCCCTCGCCGGTCCCCAGGACCGTCAAACGACTCAGGATGAAAAACCACTCCTGGGGAAAGGGTCGGGACTTCTGGGGACCGCGTATCGCATGTCTGGGTACGTAGGCCCCCTCCCAAGGAATATTGTATGAGCCTTTTGTGGTTTGCACGACAGGTTCGAACTTTTCTGGCCAAGGCAGTCTTGCTCCAGTCAGT